AATCAGTGATTGAGACCAATCGGATGGGATTACGTCCAGTTCCCAAATTCTACCTAAGACCTCAGTTAATCCCACTGCTAATACTGAACCACTATCCTTAAAAATCTCAGGAGTAAACCTGTCAGGGCCTGCTGCTCTCCCTCGTTTCAGATTTCTTATGGCTTTTTCAACTTCGTAAAGAGATGGAGGATCTACATTACCTTGCAATTCATGTTGACTAGAGATCGTGGGTAACCGAAGTGTGGCTGTAGGCCAGTTTAACTGATTCGTAAAGTGTTCTGCTCATCGATCCAATCTCCCGGATTGAGAATGTATATTATGTCCTTAACAAGTCTGAACAATTGTCTTCTATTACCTATTGCCGCTGCCTTTTCCATCTCTCTTGCTTTCGCTTCCCTCATACCCGTAACAGCACACGAGACCAAGTTGGTGACATTTAAATATATCCGTATTCTATCAACTATATCTTCGAACGTCTTCGCTTCTGACTTCTGATATGACTGGGTTGGTATATTTCGATTATAAATGTGTTAATAGTTAGGCCATTGTCAAACTCCGAATACTTGTGGCATCTTTACATATTTGTTCCCCATAGTTGTGTGATGCCTTAGATCTTCCTTGTACTCCAGTAAATAGTGATTTTGTGTATTGAAATGAGACAGAAGCACTTACTTAGACTACAAGATATACATACCAACAATTAACTACTAAACTATAATTAGTGGAATCGGATGGTTAGACTACCGTTCACTGAACACTCCAAAAATCCCGCAACGCTACCAAAAAAAAAGAATTGAGAGCCAAGGAGTTACTTGGTTTATAAAATCTCGTCACAAGAATATTGGGTTTTGGTTTGATTTACTCCGGCTTGTCACAAAGACATTGAACACTGAAGGGCTGAGTAACGTCGTTGTCCTATTGAAAGGTTTGTGGAATAAGTTGTTAGTAAACTTGGAAAAAGACAGTCATAAAACGGGTAGACAAACAAGGGCGCGCAACGAAAACAAGAATCAGGATGTCGAAAGGTCTACCGTTGATGGACCACGCATTGGCACTAATGATGACATGTTAAAACTCAGCACCATCATCATGTTGATGGCAATAGACTCCCTTAGTAAACTCGGGTCCTTGAATGCAACAGTGGTTCCCAAAAACTCTGTGGGTGATTGGACCCACGTTAACAGAGCCAAAAATAACCAGGCGTCCCCGTGTAAGCTGAACACCTCAAGTGTTGTACGGAAGTCAACTGGTGATTTGATCTCACAGTCTACTCTCAAGAATGTCCGCCTGGTCATCAAAAAGCCTAGGATTCAGAAACGTGCTTCGACCTCCAAACAACAAGGTGCTGAACCTGAACGCACCGGAAAACATGGGAAAACAATAACGGCTAGTGATGACTCTTTCATAATCACGAACCCCCAATACAACCCTGACCTTCCTCTCAGTCTGCAGGACAAAAATAACAGGATGCTCTGTGGTGAATTTAGACAAGAAACTTGAACTTCCTAGAACGGAGACTTTGACAGTCACACGGCTCACTCGGGGAAAGGAATCTAAGCATCAAAATCACCCGAGGCTACTTCGTGTAACACTTGAGAATGCTACCGACGTAGGTGATGTCCTGCTAGCTAGTCATTTACTGAAATTCGATGGGAACGTAAGGATACTGCCCAACATAACGTATTCTGAGCGCAATTTCATCCGGAACATACCTAAAGAATCTCGGAAGTTTTTTCGCAGAAGAAATATTATTGTGCAAGGTGTATCGGAAAACAAGGACTCTAGTCAAGCAAACTCTGATATTAGGGAACGGAAATTCATCAAACAGTCCTTGAGGCTCAAAAACATACTGACTCAACATCTGACGTGACTAGCCAAGAAGGACGGTGATTCTAGACCCCGGCTAATGAGGATAACTTTCCCATCCTCCCATATGGCGGCTGCAACTCTGGAAACATTTCGTGCCAACAGACGTCGATTGCCAACTGGAATCCATATGCACCCGGACAGGCTATATGAAGCCAGGACCAAGCACAAATGCAAGTCGGAGCTGATCATCCCACTTGTGGACTGACTTGATAATAAAAAAACGTGCAAAAGGCAGGGCCTGCCGTCTCGTCAAGCCTTATATAGGTAGGATACCTGTCCATTCACATAAGGCTCATACAGACAAACAGGAAGAATCATAAACTGCTTATGCATGAACGCCGCGAGTCTACCAAACAAAATGAATGAGCTACGTCAACTTAGCAATGCTAATAAGGTTCATCTGATAGGAATACCTTGATCTTGGATATCTTCTCAGTTCTCGGACCATGAGCTAGCAATACCTGGGATGTCTTGGTTTCGCAACGACAGAAAGACAGGAATTGGGGGTGGAGTAGCCATATGCATACGATCTTGCTTGGAGGTACACCAAGTTCACAACCTTAAGTTTAAAAATCTTGAGGAATCCATATGGTGCTCTGTAAGATTGTCTACTACCTCGAGGTGCCTAGTCAGTGTCATATACAGAAAGCCCACTGCCGATATCGAGTATGGCAGTCGTATGCTGGAAGGACTATACATCTCTACGTGTCTCGGATTCACTCATATCCTGATTATAGGGGACTTCAATCTCCCTAGAGTGAATTTCGCGGGACATACGTATATTGGAGGTAAAAACTCAACTGAAGCTCGGTTCTTTAACCTCATTGAGTATTTGGGATTATACGAAAATGTGAAGTCGGTAACTCGTTGGAAGAACAGTCAGACGCCATCATGCTTAGACTGTGTATTTAAAAACGAAGAATTTCTATTTGACAACCTCTCAATCTTGGCTCCCCTGGGAAAAAGCGATCACGCCGTTATAGCTTTCAGTTTCGTCAGCAAATGTGAGTTAAGATATTCCACCAACAACAGGCGCTGGAGTTTCAAACGGTTGAATGTGTCAGCTCTACAGGAATATCTACAACAGAAGGATTGGGATGTTCACCCTCAATTCGATTTGGATACTCATTGGGACTTCTTACTGCACACGCTCTTATGTGCTACAAAGTAGTCAGTCCCTCAAACGGTCTCCAATTGCTACAAGCAACCTACAATCATCAAGAACCGCACTCTTCGCCTGCTAAGCCGCAAAAGGCACTGTTGGGCAGAGTACAATTGAGCGTACAGGCGATACAAACGTATAAGGAGCGTATGCACGAAGGCTATAAGGGAAGACAGACTTTAGTACCAGACAAAGCTTACGGATAAACTTGTCTCCAATCCAAAGGCTTATTCCGTTATGCAGCCTCTCTTCGTCGAGCCAAAACTGGAGTTTCCCAACTGCTAGGTCCTAACGGCCCGACCAGTAACGACGGCGATGCCACTAACCTTTTGGCTGAACAATACTCTCGGATATTTCAACCCACTCACATAAACTATACTGACAAAAGCTTCATCTGCAACTCAAAAAGACTTTCCGAAGTGAACCCGAGCGCTGACTTGGTGTTCCGGAAACTGCAGTACTTAAGAATCGATACTTCTCCTGGCCCGGATATGGTTCATTCTGCCATACTGAGGGAAGCAGCCTCAATAATGACGACGCCGCTTAGCGTGATGTTCTCACACTCGCTCAGCCGAGGAAAACTACCGGAAAATTGGAAGTTGGCTCACATCACACCAATTTTCAAAGGAGGTCGACGCAGCGAACCTTGAAGTTACCGACCGGTGGCTCTTCTCTCAATACCTCCAAAAGTCATGGAGTCCCTGATATGCGATGGTATAAATGACTATTTACTGTCCTTAAATTTCTTCTCACCCCAACAGCATGGTTTCAGGAAGGGTTACTCTTGTATAACCAACCTGCTGACTGCGGTGAACAGATGAACAAGCATCCTCGATCACAAGGGGAAGGTTGATATCATCTAACTGGATTTCTCAAAAGCTTTTTCAGTTTCAGTTTGGGAAGGACAGGAGGCCTGATGGCCTGTGTTAGTCCTGATAAAGTTAACCATACATGTCTTATCAAAAAGCTCAAACGATTGGGTATCAGACCACCTCTAATCACTTCACATTTGAAAAATCGACATTTTAAGGTTAGGGTTAACTTCACTTTATCTCAGGCTATGGAGTGTTCTAGTGGGGTCCCCTGGGGCTCAGTACAAGGACCTTTTCTCTTCTTGATTTATATAAATGATCTTCCTCAACACATAACGTTAGACTTATTACTTTTCGCCGACGACGTGAAACTTTGGAGAGAGATACGCAACCAAGACGATATACAGGCGCTTCAGGAGGATCTGACTCGACTTCAAAGTTGGGCAGACGATAACGGGCTTACTTTGAACACTTCAAAGTGTAGAGTAGTCCATCTGCGACATGTCGCAGACTATAGTTACAACTTAGGAAACTCCTCTCTAGTAGTATCCCAAGTCGAAAAATATTTAGGAGTGCTGGTGCCCCACGATTCAAAGTCTTACTTTAACTGTGACAAAAATGCTTTTCGAGCAAACCTTGCAATGGTAACATTGAAGCGCATTTTTGGCCATTTCGACAGAAGAACTTTTCATATAATCTTCAACAGTTTTATCCGTCCCCATTTAGAGTACGGAAACATAGTACTCCCCCCTCACTCCAAAAAGACAAGGACTGTAGACACAACTTCTACTCCTTAAGGGTTGTCAAATGCTGGAATTCGCTGCCGGCTGAGCTAGTCCAAGTGACTTCCCAGGAGTCCTTTTAAGAGGCAACTTGATCTATTCTTAAGGATTAAGGATAGTATCTTACTATGATTTAATAATTTCCTTTTCCTCTTTCATTGTTAATATACCCAGGTTCCTGCCTGTAGGTATTCGTGGACCACTGCTACTAGACACGGAAGCCTGTTGAGCGAAAGCTTCTTCTATTCCGTTCACAACCATTTGAACCATTTGAAGGGCGCGTTGGACGTTGATCTTATGCGACTTACTCCGCTGAAAGCAATTTGGGGTGCTGTCTGCGTTGCCAAGTCTTCGAGAATAACACTGCTAAGAAACATGACAACAAAAGTTGGTATAGTTCAAATGCAATCAACAGCAGATAAGGAACGGAATTTCGACCAGGCGGTTAAGTATATTAACCAGGCCATAGCATCAGGAGTCAAGGTCAGTTTAAATATCGAACATCTTATCATTAATAGAAATTCAGATCGTTTTCCTCCCTGAATGCTTTGATTTTGTTGGTCGGTCACGTGAGGAGACACTTGATCTTTCAGAAGTGTTAGACGGACCTTTGATAACAAAATACCGTGCCTTAGCTTCTCGAGAAAGCCTTTGGATTAGTCTTGGTGGTGCTCATATTAGGGTAAGCAATGTGAAATCTTTCAAATGACTAAGTTATCTTGCAATTATTTGGCACATTTACATTGTCTTTGTGTGAAGTTAATGCATGTTACGACCCCCACTGCCCAGGTACGGCTGACGGTAGGGAGAATTCAGCTTAATCTCAAAATGCCCTCATATGGCAACATATATGCAGCCACTGCCAGGGAAGTCTTACTCACTGCCTTCTTGCGGCGAGGGTGTTTTTTACGAAGTTGAGAGGATGACAGGCGATTGTCTTGCGTTGTAACCGGTTTAGTGGGTACGGGCATAGAGTAGTAAATATGGGATAAGTGCATCTCCGATGCTCCGACCAGTTCTTGGATCATATCACTTAAGTTCAACTCAAGCTTAGGAGGTCCCTTCACTGTTAAGGATCGAGTTGTGTGGGTTTTACCCTTTTTTTATTGTGCTCTTCTCTTTTCTACCAGTGAAGACCTTAGTATTCGTCAATGTCAGGTAACTTATGCTTCATGTATGCTGGTAGGTATGGGTCATATGTACGTGAGTCATTTCGATTTATTGAGAATTAGGTTTTGTTTTCTTCCTATGCTACGTGTAACTCTGCTCAGTTACCTTGGCTAAAATGGCTTGTGACGACTAGCAGTCCATAAAGGATAAAAGGCCATGCATCTTAAAGTATTTCTAAGAAGACTGCTTTTAGCAGTGTACAAAAATATGAAAAACTTTAACTGACTAATCCTAAAATTTGTATGTTGACTAAACTGCCGTCAGAACACGTTCTTTGTTTTCAGCCACAGTGTAAATACTCGCGACTAATAATTACTACATTATTTTAAAAAAAATTATATTTTTGGTTACTTGTTAATCCCTCAAATAATATTAATTTTTTTTTACAAGTATAACCGTTAGTTTCATGTTCGTTTTTGTTTCCAAATTATCCAGATCACAGAGAACGATGATCAGTTGTACAATTCTCACATAGTTATTAATTCAGATGGTCAAATAGTGGGCGTTTATCATAAAGTCCATTTATTCGATGCCAATTTAAGTACAAACGAAACTACACATAATACAGAAGTTAATTTCATTCAGTTTTCTATAATTAATCTTTCTTATCTATTGTTTTATGTTGATGTACTGGGAACCACTGACAGGGAAGTCTTATTCACTGCCTTCTCGTGGCATTACTGATGTTTACGAAATTGAGAGAACGAAACGCGAATGTCCGGAGCTTTAACCGGCTTGGTGGGTACGGAGGATCCACTTAGGGGAGTTAGAAAACCCTCATTCCAAACCGGTGGTACACGTGCGCTCCGGTATCCTGAAGGAACAAATAGCGTATGAACCAATCGTTGGTCACCGGCTAGCATGGGACTTCATCTCCTGATGTTGCTCCACTGCCTTGTGGATTAGTCGTTTAGGTCAAAGGCTCGGGGTGTGGCCCCCTAAGAAAACCACCTGCTTCCGTCTGGGTACTCAGGCACTATCACAACCTACACGGAAATCATGTGACTTGTGTGGCCCATATGTATTCCATGTCCCTTTACCATTATTTGTATTCAAATAAATAAATAGATTTGGTTCTGGTAAGGTTCAGCCGTGTGGAGTTATACTACTGTAATTCCTTTTGATGTTTCTTTAAGTCGTTTATTATCAGTAAATTGATAGCCCAAATTTTATGTCCGTTATAAGACTAATCTGACTTTATAGGGTGACTGCGAGATATTTGACATACGTTTAATCTATCCAGTAACATGAAAAGCCTTTAACAGATTATTCAGCATTTTTTTAAACCATAAACTTGCCTGTAGAGGTTTGTAATGCACTGTTAACCGAATACAGCGTAGCTCTTGAATGTACGAAAATAGTTACCATATACTCTATATTTTTCCTTTTACTATTGAATTAGCATCACCTAAGTCAATGTATCTGCTAGTCACAGTTCATTGCTATTTTACTATAATACAAATTTACCTGATAGACCATTGGTTCAACATCGTCTCGTGTATTTTGTTTATAAGTGTTCGTTGCTACATTATCATTTAGTTCTGACTCATTTGTCGATTATTTACAATTAAACTCATCGATTAAAAATTTGTTTTTGTAGTCAACATGTACGCGATCATCGTTTTTCGAGTCGAAAGCGATATGTGCTGGTACCGAGGCTCCAATCGTAATCCAAAACACCCCTATTGGAAATTTGGGACTAGCTATCGTACGTAACAGTGATTATTTTGTCTATATCTGACACAATTTTACTGGTGTCATGTTAAATTTGTCAAAAATCAGACAGTAACAGAACATCGACACATAATAGTATACGTTACTTTTCAGTTGAAACTCCAGGTTAAGAAATATTCCTAAATGTGTATTACTCTTAGTTATTCACCTGGTGAAGACCACCTAGTTTGCAAAAAATCTTTTCTTTTACAAGTCTAAAATAATTGCATAGCTAATATTAAAGATTATAAATGGGGTCAGGGGGACAAAATAAATAGTGTAAAAATATCTTTTACAGTATTCATATAGGTTAATATGACTGGATAAGTTTATGACGCAATTCATCCAATAAAAGCCATCCAATGAGGTGTCCTAATATTATATTCTGAAACTAAATATTAGTGACACTGGTAGTTTGACTGACCTTTCGACTGCTAACACTATCAGCTCGTTGAATCTCAGACAAGTTAGGTGGTAATAAAGTTAGATGCTTCAGTTTATGTGCATCACTTAGCTTTTATCTTCAAAGGTAAAAATCAACGTAGAATCTCAGGAATTTCGCTAGTAGCTGCCGTTTCAATAGTGAATTATGTGCCGGACATTCGCTTTTCGTCCTCTCATTTTCGTAAACAACACCCCCGCCACGAGAAGGCAATGAGTAGGACTTCCCTGGCAGAGGCTGTATACGCGTGGCCGTGTGAGAGTATTTCGAGAGAGAGAGCGGACTCTCCCCACTCTCGGCCGTACCAGGGCATTCAGGGGGGCTATTTTCAGTATGACTAAAATATATCGGATGACAGACATGGTACACGCTTCTCATGATTTCTTGTACGTGTGTTTACCATATTCATAGCTGCTTATCTGGTTTCGACTAAAGACATTTTATACGGAGCGTTCAACTCTTACCGATTCCATTTTATGAAGATACTAATGCCTATTATGTAATTTGGCAGTCACTTTCCAAATCATGCAGTAATCTGGAACGTCTATCGTATGAAGCCTGTTAATAGTGACTCTAAGTTGTTCGTATGTTTGTGGATGGGGTGGGTTCTGATCCTGTAACTCAGCAGTTGAGATTTAAGTGCTTGTGCGAGTATATAGTTGTTTTTATTACAAGTTCTTTGTCGGATGTGTATTTCACTATTCCTCTTAGGTTTTACGCTCAATCAATAGTTAATATTTAAAAAGTTCTTTTCAAATAATATAGATATCCTAATTATAAATCGATTTCTTCCTAGTGTTATGACATGCGATTTCCTGAACTAGCATCTCATCTTCGATATGCTAAGAATGCTCATGTTCTAAGTTATCCATCTGCTTATACTACACATACAGGAGAAGCTGGTCATTGGCATACGTTGATTCGAGCCAGAGCTATTGAGAATCAGTGTTATGTAGTTGCTGCAGCCCAGGTAACCTACTCATGCCTATGCTTTTCATTTTGATAAACTGTCTCACCTAATTTGTACCTTTTTTCTAGTAATTTAATATATTCTTGCTAATTTAACTGCCGGAGGTATCTATGTTGGTTGTTTGTTTGATGCAAGTCTAAATTATGTACATCATGTTTTCTTGAGATCAATTAAGGCGCATCAATTTTTAGTTTTCACAGTGTATTTTATATTAGTCAGCTGATATATGATTAAGAACTAGTGTATTGATTCGAAATGGATTATACTGAATATGTATTGTGACGCGGTGTCGTTTAGCCGATCCCTGAGTGACCCAACCTACCGCATCTTCTATCTTGACGTGGTTGTCGTATTTGTCTATTGTGATGACTCAACCGAACAAAATTACCTGGAATATATGTTCCTTTAGGCCCTACCATGCCAAACTGGTCGGTTGGAGAACGATAGAACTAAAAACAGTAACTTACGGCTCCAGGCCGAAGTTGTACTGTTGACTATAGAGGGGTACGATAGAAGTAAGGTATTCACTTTTTGAAGTCCGGAGCTAACACATTAAAAACTCCCCCATAAAAAGGCCATGTGTGACTGGCTTCAAGAACTTGGCTCCTGGGCTTTGGATCACTTACCTAGGTCGCTATGACCACCACTAGTTCAGCTTCTTTCTCACCTCCCTCAATAAGAAATATCTTTCCACAGTGTGAGCATCCAGGATGTGACAACTGCCCCCATACTTTTAATAGTACCTAAAATCATCTTGTTCACGATCGATCCCCCACTTCATCTCTCTATAATTCTTCCTTCCCCACAACTAACCATTCTCATTTATCTTTGTCTCCACGCACCACAGTTGTTAATGATTTGAGCTCATGAAATGTTATTCCCAGTCTCTTGATACCACGCTCTAAACTACATATTGGAGCGTTTGATTTTCGAACTTTGTGTCCAATAGGAAAACAAACTTCTTTAGCTAGGAATGTAGAATTTCGCTCCGTCGATGCATTTCGCGACTCCGAAATCCGCAAACAGGATCGAAGTATGTTCATTCATCTGACCTCGTCTTGTCAATATAAAGAACCGGAACGATTTACCCTTCGAGTATCTAAGGTTTCCGCTGCTACTTCCCGTAGCCTCGATGCTTTAGTATGATATCCAAAAAGCTCTATGAACAGCAGTGCTATTCACAAATAACTTAAACCAAAAGGTTAGGAAGAATCAGCGGATTTCAGCAGCGTCTGCAGAACTGATGGATACTCAGGAACTCATCCCGTCTGGCTCTAAACACTATGAGGAGCTGAGGTAGCTTAAGTATAGACTGTTAACAAGTCTACGTAATGGTCGTGAACAGCGGTGGGTAGCGAAAGCAGAAGAGATAGGAAAGGCAGAAGCGATAGGTAAAAGTAGATAACTGTTCAGACTTTTCAAGTAAACGGGTATTAAAAATCCATCTCTTAGTGAGGAATATTATTCGTTTTCATTCCAGAAGATTGAATGGATGGGCATAAAACCCTGGGGAACAGTCCAACTGGTCGTCAACCACACTTCAATCACCCAACATCTTCGAGTAATCTGAATGGTAAATTGATGTTAGTCATCCACCACTTAGTGAGGTTGAAGAGGCTATGAGTAATCTGTAATGAGAGAAAGCATTAAGACCTGTTGGACTAACCCTTGAGATTTTAAGAATGATGATCAAGTTTTAGCAGTTAGATTAATTAAAATCTTAGCTGAAGTCTGGGAACTAAACGTAATCCCATCTGACTGGTCTCGATCCCTGATCGTCCCAGTTTATAAGAAAGAGCAAAAATCCTCTCGTGTCAGTCACAGGGGAATCAGTTGGACTAATATAATGTCTAAAATATTAGCCTCAATAATTCTTCGGCAGACTCTGGAACATAGACATACTTGACCTTAAGGCGGCGTTTGACTGTTGGTTGTGAGGTCGTGTTGCAGTCCTTCAAAAGTACATTAACGGTGTACTGGCTATCTACCCGAACACTACTGGTCGAGTCAGGGCTCATTGAGAACTTATCGGAATTGGTTACTTCAAGTGTTGTTCTTCAGGGTTGTCTTTCTCCATTTTTATTTAACTTTGTCATAGAATGCTTTTAGGGATAATATCTCATCGGCTGACTTCTCAGGAGTCGGTCTTCTACAGGGAGATTCACTTGTTGACTTAGGACGTACAGACGATATAGTTCTGTTTAGTGAGAGCGTTTACAAAATATAATCTTATGATTGCCTTAGGCAGCAATGCAAGCATATTTGGGATAGGGTTTTCTCCCTCCAAATTTGAAATGTTACTTCAAAATTGACGTGCGTCATTGCCTGAATTAGTGATAGAGAGTGGAATAGCTGGACGCATTGACTGCTTCACTTATCTTGAAAGTCTCATTAGTACTGATAGTTTGGTGTCCAACGAAATCTCGGTACGGATTAAGAAGGTCCGATTGGCTCTTTCCAACTCGCGGCATTTGTAGTGTATGCGATTATAGGTGTCCACGATGTATTGCTCGTGCATTTTGGGACCACGGAATAAGCAATGCCTGAGTTAGGAATAGGGTACTTTGTAAGGATGGCAAGTCGATTGATGATCTCCAATCAATTCCCCCCTGGACTCTCCAGCTGTTGCTGAATGCTTTCCATCCCCTCTTCGGCTCTTTCCCTTTTCCCTTGAGGATCGCATGTTAGAACTTGCCTTGTGATGCAGTTTGATGGTTTTATCAGTGTTTGTCCTATCTACTCCCAGCATCTGTTTCTAATTTACTCTTCATCTGGAAGCTGATTTGTTCTCTGTCATAGTAGGTAATTGCTGTTGGTATCCAACCAACGGATGTTGAGTATCTTGCGTAAACAACTGTCTATAAATATTTGCACAGTTTCGTTGGTGGTTGTTATTTATTTATTATTTATTATTTATTTGAACACAAATATTGGTACAAGAGAGCGGCAATATATATGCGCCACACAAAACAATGAGAATTCGAAGAGAAAGGAAAAAAGGTAAGGAGCGTGAAAAAAGAGAACAATAACAAAGAGGTTGGTGTAAGGTAGTGTAGTAATAATAATAATAATGAGGGAACGGAAAGGTACAATCAGAAGAAATCTTTCAGTTAAGGAAGACACAACCACTTTTTATAAAGAAAGTAAAAGAAGGTTACAGCAGGATCGCCACTGGCTTCCATTCTGAGCCATATCTGATAACGTCTCTAGACACTGTGTAACACCATCTCTCGGACCCCAGCCAGGGAGTCGTGAAGGACCGACAGAAGCCAGTCCTTTACAGCTTTCTTTCATCCCACGACACCATGTCATGCACTGACCACCTCTCCGCTTCTTCCAACCAGTCCCAGAGTCGGCAAATAATGCACGACGTGGAATTCTCTGGGACGACATTCGTAGATGTCCAAGCCACCGAAGTCGGTGTTTCAAGATGGTGACACCAATTGAATTATCATCTCTGTGCCCGAACACACGATGCCGAACCTCTGCATTACTGACATGGTGTTGCCACTGAATGTCAGCAATCCTTCGGAGACAGCGATGATCGAACACAGAGAGTCGTCTAACGTCCTCAACTCGGAGAGGCCAGGTTTCACAAGCATAGAGCAAAACTGCTCTCACCGACGCGTTGTAGATCCGACCTTATACGGCCAGACTAACATCATGAAGTCGCCAAAGGTAGTAGACTTATCCCCCGATAGTTGTCCCAGGAACGACGTGAACCCTTTTTAAAGATAAGGACTACTCTCGACTCATTCCATGACGTTGGTACACTCTCTAGTTCCCAAACCTTTGTAAACAACGTCGTCAATTCCTTAGTCAAAAAGTCACTACCATCTTTAAAAAGATCCGGAGGTAAGTGCTAGCCAGAAACAGGTTGTGGTCTGTGCAAAGTTGCAGTAGACGGTCCCCGTTATCTGACCTGCGACCAACGAGTCCCCATCGGCCACCTAAACGACTCTCTTCTGTGCCTAGACGCCCGACCTGAGCATTCAAGTCTCCGGCTAGTACTACAATACCTGTCGAACGCACTTTCTGGAGAAGAACTGATAACTGGTGGTAAAACTCATCCTTGATTGCATCCGGGCTGCAATCTGTCGGAGCATAGGCGGAGATGACGAAAAGACATCGTTTCTCACGCCGATTTCTTCTCACTTTGCTGGAACCTTCTAATCTAACAGCACATAACCGACTGTTAATGGGGATCCAATCGGTTAGTGCTGCCTCAGCTCTAGCGCTTAGTGCGACACCAACGCCAGCAAGACCAGACGAAGATGCCACAGGGCCCTCGGATAAGCGCACGTAAAACAAGCTTTACGAAGCGACAGATGGAGATCGAATTTGCAGTACTTCACCAGAGTCTTGAATACGAGTCTCGGATAGACAGCAGACATCGATATTAAGACTTTCCAAAGACATAGCCAGCCCTATCTGTTGTCCGACCTGCATAAGTGTGCGAACGTTGAAGGCAGCCAGTTTGAATGGTTCATGTGGTTTCAGAAAAACTGCTTCACTACTCATATTCGGTGGTAACATACAATTTTCAACCAGACAGTGACTCGAAAACGTTTAGATAGAGTCGAATTTCCACCAAAGACGAGTCGCAGTATAAGTATAAAAGAGGATGAATGATGTGGTAAATAATAATAATATTGACAGATAATTCCCATTTAAACACTAAAATTAAAACATGAATTTCAGCGAAGTGATCTCTTTTCAACGTATTTATTATCAAGCTGTACAATCGTATATATATGAAATTTTCTTGTTTTTTGTAAAAGTACTAATTCCGTGAGGAAATGTGAACACAGTTAATATAAAGGTTATAATACTAGATTACGTAATATGAATAATAACAATAGATTTAGTGAATATAATAAGATGATTAAAATGTTTTTTTGTTATAATAGTTAAACGTCATAGAGGTGTAATAAATAATTAAGGTGATATGATGAGCATTCACGAATAAAACAATGAGAATATAAGACATAATTAAAGGGGAGAATGCAGTAATAATAATAATAATAATAATAATAATAATAATAATAATAATAATGTAATCAAAATAATTAAGGCCAAGGTAACGATAACGATAAGACGTACTTCTTTTGTACGCATAGTTCTGGTTTAAGCTCCTGGATGGTAAGAGCTTCGGCTATTTTTTAAAAAAGTTGGATACGAAGAAATCTGGGTAGATTTGAACGAATCATATAAACAACCTTAAAGTCAATTTGTGGATCCGTTGAATGGTTATAGTCGATTAGGTGTTCAAGTATAGAACTCCTAACTGCTTTCCTTTCACCCTTATAGAACCAAGCTGGGATATGTTCTCGTATCCGAGTCGAAAGCGAGCGCTGGGTACGGCCAATGTACCTTGCTCCACAAGAGTAGGTGAACTGGTAGATGCACATGGAGGCAACCAGACGCGGAAGCTTATCTTTTATGGATACAGAAAATAAGTTTCTACTAGTGAAGGATATTCGCAGTTTTGCCGCGTTAAATGTTCTTCTAATAGTTGTTGTTAGACATAATAATAATAATAATAATAATAATAATAATAATAATAATAATAATAATAATAATAATAATAATAATAATTTGAATCATTTGATTGTTATTCGAAGCGAGAAAAGTAGTTCCCATAGATATAGAGAATCCATCATTTGCGTGTGGGCTGTGATACTGCCCGGGTGCCCAAACCGAAGCGGGTGGTTATCTTAGGGGGCCACACCCCGAGCCTTTGACCTAAAGGTCTAACCCACAAGGCAATAGAGCATCGTAAGGAGATGCGATCCCATGGTAGCCGGTGACCAACGATTGGTTCATACGCCATTTGTTCCCACAGGATACTGAAGCCCATGTGCACCATTGGTGGTTGTAGTAGTTACCTAAGTTTCAGCCCCGTGCAATAGAACTATCTCGACCTTTGTGTTAAAGTTTCTGACTTTGTTGTTGGTTGGTACTTGTTTGAAGTTCCAGATACTCTCCAGTTGCACCTCCTACGATATTGAAGTCACTGCTTTTTTAATTTCTTTCCAGTCGTTCCTCATAGTGGTTTCTCCTAGACGATCTTTTAAGTCTTGTAACTTGTTAGGATCTGAAAGGAAGGCTGTATTAAACTTTCGTAATTTTGTCTAATTGCGCAATGCTGAAGCTATATCAGCTTCTTTATTTGTTCGTACGTCTTTTGTAGACTTTCGGAATTTCTTATTTATTGTTGCTTGGTTAACCTAGATTTCTATATTGCGGTCTGGCGAAACCTATGTAGGTTTATGCATATGTTCATATTAAGAAATCCTACCACCTATAACTGTGTTATTGAAACCACATAGACCTACCATTCTTTCTGCTTTCTCCCTCTCCATTTCTCCCATTGATGCGTCTTTACAAATTGTTGGTTTCGCTGGATTTAGTGCTTAGGTTCCCCATCAGAAGCGTCAGATTGCTTCCTTAGTATTTTTCTAGGATGGACTGCAACATTCAATAGAGATGGTATTTATCATCTCTGCTGCCATTGATGGAGATCGGTAGCACTGGATGATGTTCATTATAATCCATTTTTTGTCTCGAAAAATGCTATGGTAATCTCGGAGTCGTAGGTTTTTCATCTTATGGGTGCTTGTTGTGCCTCTTTCGAGAGAGCATCAATGCTTCAGGTGAAGTTAAATTGTCAAATATTCAAAATGGAACTCAGTTGTCTTTATCTCCCCAAACATTATCCTGCTATCAATGATGAATATATCAACATATACATGAATTTAGAGTAATGCCTATATTCTTTGTTATACTCACAATCCGTATGTATTTTTATGAAAGTTTCTTTGTGATTTCTTTGTGTGCAGGAAGGTAAACATAACGAAGGACGATCTTCATATGGGCATAGTTTAGTTGTGGATCCTTGGGGTCAAATTATCACTGAACAGATGAATCCTGGTCCTGGTTTATTAACATGTGAAATAGGTCCATTTACCATGGTTAATTCAACAACATCTATTCTTCCTAAAATTTATCATGTAAGAAGATCAATGCCTGTGGAATATCATAGACGATTCGATTTATTTCCAATGTCTGACAGTGGGTATCCTCGTTGTAAGTGTATATATTCAAACCTACTTCGTCCTTCATTTTACTCAGTAATAGGGAGTTCACAACTGTAAAAATAGTTATACAATTCTATCAAAATCGTTATTTTAAGAAGGCTACTACTTTTACTAAAATATTAAAAATTTTTTAAAAAAACTTACAAATGGAGCAACTTAGTAAAATCAATTAGATCTTAGTTTAAGGAATCTGCTTACCGCCGACTGATACCAATCAGAAAACTGATACAAAGGTAGTTGACATTTTTATATTTTCAACCTGGTACCCCTTAGTGGTGTACACCCTTGACCGCATAAGAAAAGTGGTTCAGAACTTTCGGGTTCTCACAATAAACATATTGTCATCAGCCGATGGTTCACACCAGACTTCTGTAAACCCACATTACTCGAAAACTATCAAACTACCTTTGAGAGATCGATCTTCAATATCGTTCGACTACACTGATTACGGCTCCTTAAAACATGCACTCATCATATCACTCTTGGGCACAAGAAATAATATTCAGTTAAGTTATTTGATAATAAAGTCACTACTGAAGTATCAAACTAAAATTAAATAGGTATTTGTTGCTACTTGGTTCTCAGTAATTTTGTTGAGTCGCCTCGGTTGATGCAAAATCGAAACTATTATTTGCAAAATACCCTTTGACTTAGTCCAGCTAACATTGTTGTGTTTTACAGTATTGTCCTCGTCTACTACTGGAAGAGCTAATTATCGTCGTTAAACATAGTGTCAGTCACAACTTACTTACTTACTTACTCCTGTTACTCCCAATGGAGCATAGGCCGCCGACCAGCAATCTCCAACCCACTCTGTCCTGGGCCTTCTTTTCTAGTTCCATCCAATTCTTGTTCATTTTTTTCATGTCTATTTCCATTTCTCGGCGTAATGTGTTCTTTGGTCTTCCTCTTTTCCTTTGGCCTTGAGGATTCCATGTGAGGGCTTGTCTTGTGACGCAATTGGGTGCTTTCCTCAATGTGTGTCCTATCCACTTCCAGCGCTTCTTCCTGATTTCTTCCTCCGCTGGGATCTGGTTTGTTCTCTCCCACAGTACATTGTTGCTAATAGTGTCCGGCCAATGGATCTGAAGTATTTTGCGTAGACAATTGTTAATAAACACCTGTATTTTCTGGATGATGGCTTTCATAGTTCTCCAGGTTTCTGCTCCATACAGTAGAACTGTCTTGACATTTGTATTGAAAATCCTGACCTTGGTGTTGGTTGACAGTTGCTTTGAGTTCCAGATGTTCTTCAGTTGTAAATATGTTGCTCTTGCTTTGCCGATCCGCGCCTTCACATTTGCATCAGATCCACCCTGTTCATCATTGATGCTGCCCAAATATGTAAAGGTTTTTACATCTTCCAAATCTTCCCCGTCAATTGTGATTGGATTGGTGCATTCTGTGTTGTATCGGAGAATCCTGCTTTTCCCTTTGTGTATATTGAGACCTACTGCTGCTGAGGCTGCTGCCACACTGTTCGTCTTCTCCTGCATTTGTTGTTTCGTTTGGGATAGAAGGGCCAGATCATCTGCGAAGTCCAGATCGTCCAACTGCATCCTAGATGTCCATTTTATCCCGTGCTTCCCTTCAGATGTTGACGTCTTCATGATCCAGTCGATCACCAGGAGGAAGAGAAAGGTTGAGAGTAGGCAACCTTGCCTAACACCGGTCTTCACTTCGAACGACTTTGTCAACTGTCATCCATGCACGATTTTGCAGTGTAATCCATCATATGAACTCTGTATGATAGTGACTATCTTCTGAGGCACGCCGTAGTGTCGAAGAAGCTTCCATAGTGTTGTTCTGTCCGCGCTATCAAATGCCTTTTCTTAGTCAATGAAGTTGATGTAGAGTGATGAATTCCATTCATGTGATTGTCCCACAATGATCAGTCAGCCACAAAGTAACGCGAAATTTCTGGTTAGAATCCACATCTTGCTAATTTTTGAAACTAGGAGCTGTGACGAAAGTGGTTAATTCTACTGGTATAAATCCTTTAGCTCATCGATAACTCGGTTTACTTTAGAATTTAAAAATTTGGCAAACACACGGTTATTTTCTGTTCAAAAGTGCGAAATGGAATTGGTTTACTGAATGTCGAAAATCGTTTCATATGTTGAGGTCAATTATTTAGTATTTATTTGAACACAAACATTGGTACGATGGGGCACCAAATACTTATGCGACGCACAACAACAATGAGGTTGTGAAGAGATAGATGATGTAAAGTGTGTATAGTAAAATAAAGAACAACAACGAACCAAAATTAATTTATGGGAGTGAAAGAACAATAGTGGAGGAAACAGTTCAGTTACGAAAAATACAACCAGCAAAAATCCTTTCACTTAGAGAAGTTAGGATCACTTTTATGAAGAAAGTAGAAGAAAGTTACGGCAGGATCGTCACTAACTTATACTCTGAGCCATGTTTAATAACGTCTCTAGTCACTGTGTTGCACCATCTCTAGGACCCCAACTAAGGAGTCGTGAAGGACCAACAGAAGCCAGTCCTTCACGAATCTCCGAGAGATGGTGCAACACAGTGGCTAGAGACTATCAGAAATGGATCAGAATAGAAGTTAGTGGCGATCCTGCTATAATCTTTTACTTTCTTCATGAAAAGTGGTTGTAACTTCCTTAACTGAAAGAATTCTTCTGTTTGTACCTTTCTGTTTCCACCATTATTATCATTATATTATACATTATATATTGCATTATTATCACTACTATTATAGTATTATAATATCATTATTATATTATTATAATATTACTGTTGCTATTACTATTGCTATTATTATTATTATTATTATTATTATTATTATTATTATTATTATTATTATTATTATTATTATTATTATTAATTGTTATGACCTTGAATGTCTGGCTTTTCTATCACACGATTTATCTACCAATCCGAATACGACTTATACGAACCTTCAAACCAGGCCAACCAATGACGTTCAACCGGTGTGGGCAGTTTAGCGTCCTTATTGGTCCTATGTCCTCCGAGCCCTTCCACTTGAGTCCAGAACACAATACCAGCTTCCGTAATATGAATCGAATCAGAGCAGATCAGACCAGATCGTTTATTTCAGACATACCCAGTTTATATATCAATCAGACAGACCACAACGTACCATAAAATAGGAAATAATATTTGTGCACAAATAAGCCAAAAAGTGGCTGTAAATGAGGGGGACAGTAATTAATAGACTGAGCATAATTTAGGGACAGTAAATCGTACAGTAATAAAATATAGGTCAAAATAAAGCTTATAATAAGAGGAATATAAATATACATAGTGTAATTGTTGAGTCGTTATACAATAAGAATATTTATAGAATATTAGTCCATGAATAGTCCTTGGAAGTTACCTGTAATTTAATCTTCACCGGATATAACATTAGTTACTGCCTGTTCACTACTCAGGGTGAGTGCAGGATCACGGTCCTGTCAGTCGTGTAAAGGTGTTTTGCACTTAGAAGGTGCAAAACACATGCCAATACATTTGCGTTAAAGGTTCTCAATGAGTATCTGAAGTATAGCGCAAGGCTCAGTGAGGCGATGACTAATGTTGATTTTATAAAGGAATGCATAGAAACCAACTTGTACCCAAAGTTGTATTGGAAATCTTTACGTCGCTCTCGAGTTCGACCAAATGGAAGGACCCTCAAACGCTACGCCCTTAACCAAATCGATTCTCTAAACTCATACATTGCGGAGATGGTAAAAAAAATCAACGAGAGAATTTATGCTGTAGATGATCTCCCTGATAAATTAAGAGATCAGTATCTGGACTATGTGGAGATGGTTGTTAACTCAAGAAAGGAAAGGAAAAGAATGAAACTTAAGAAAAATCTAGACAAACAGATCCCAGAAATGAAATTTCCATCCAATCCAGGTCAGTACGTACACAATTTCTCTAGTGTTATACTGGATAAAACTGAGTTAGAAGCGTTATCATTAGGCCCTAAGTTTTGTGACTTCAAGAGAACAGTAAATAAAATGGACGTTGAGATTCAATTCGAAAATCTTTATGCTCAAACGGCAGAACTTGTAACTTCATCAAAAGATAATGTCGAAAGATTTAAATCAACACTAGTCGACTGTTGTTTTAAATATTTAAATCATAGACACAACACGAAAGGGATTTTGACGAAAAAACATACAGAAGCTTTAAGAAAACTTAAAACTAATGACAATTTATTAATCATGAAACCGTACAAAGGACATGGAATAGTACTCATGGATAAAAATGACTACATAAGCAAAATGAAAGCCCTTTTAAATAATAAAAGCAAATTTCAGAAACTGGCTGTGAAGAACGACATAGCAGATAAGATTGAAAAGCAATTAACAGATTCACTGAAAGAAATTAAACAACAAGGCTTTATTTCAGAAAAGATGCTCGAAATGTTGAAACCTACAGGAACGATGACACCAAGACTATATGGCCTACCAAAAATACACAAAAGTGGCTTACCCCTTCGACCAGTTTTAGATATGAATAACTCAGCGTATCATAGTATAGCAAAATGGTTGGTGCAAATTCTTAAACCATTACACAAAGAAATTGTCAAGCATAGTGTCAAGGATTCCTTTGAATTTGTTGAGAACATAAAAAATCTATCAGTCAAGAATAATTTCATGTTATCACTTGATGTATCATCTTTATTCACTAACATTCCACTACAAGAAACAGTTGATTTTATTTGCAATGAACTAACAGAGAGACGCATAGAAACCCCGATTCCAGCATCCGCGATAAAACAGTTAATTCTCAGATGCACAATGAATGCACAATTCAGATTTGACAATGAATACTATAGACAGCTAGATGGAGTTGCCATGGGATCACCATTGGGCCCTCTACTGGCTGATATTTTCCTTGCAAAACTGGAAAACGGACCACTTAAAAACATAATTAGCCATTTACCAACTTATTATCGCTATATAGACGACACCTTCATAGTACTAGAAAAAGAGA